CAGTATGCCACACCCCCCCCTCCTTGAAAGACCGAGCTTACCTACGAGGGCGAAGCTGTCTGTCTGAGGGAGGGACCACAGTCCGGGTGGGAGGGGCAGGTCGTGAAGGTCATGAGCTAACCTTTGTCGCTCGTAGTGAACGTAGATCAGCGGTGCGGATGCTTTCAAATCTGTTCCTGAAATCCACCGAGTGTCGTCGGGATCGCATGCTTTGAATGTAACTTTGTACTGTCGAGGCTTGCTGCCGTACTTGCGATCCATGATGACGCGGTCAACTTCCTGATGACCATCCATAGAAGGAGGGTCCTGCGATCGTCGGCCCGGGAAGTCATCGCTCTTAGCTGGTGTGTATGTCGCCAGCTTCGAGGCGTGAAAGACTGGATGGACCATCAGATGCGGGGGGATGTTGATCACAAAGGAAGGGCCATCGGGCTCATCGCCCGCGGCTGATGTTACGGGCCATGGTCCAAACCACTTGGGAAGCAGTTCGCGTGAAACATCCTGTTCCAGTGCAAACTCTTCCGCGGAGACCCAAACCAGATCACCAGCGCGGATGGGACATGGCACGCGACGCCTGTTGGCTTGCTGCTGCATGCGGACTTCAGCCTTTTGCATATTCGCGCGGGCTTGAGCCAGCAATTCCCTGTATTTCCGGACGGAAGTGAGAGAGCAAGCGGCGTCAATGTCGGCTGGTCGTGGGAGGAGAAGGTCGGCGAAGATACGGCCTTTCCGTCCACCGTGGTGCAACTCGAATGGAGTCACGCAGATCGCCGAATGCACCGAAGTGTTGTAGGCGAACTCGATGTCGGGGAGGCGGTCAACCCAATCTTTCTGGTCCGGGCAGATGAGCGTACAACGCATCATTTGAGCAGTTTGATGTGCCCGCTCCGTTTGCCCGTCCGTCTATGGATGCCGAGCCGAACTTGGTTTCATCTTTGTGCCGGACTCCTGCATGAGAGCAATCCAAAATGCCGACATGAAGCGAGTGTCGCGGTCGCTGACTATGTCTTCCGGTACACCGTGGCCGCAAACCCAGCCGGTGTGCAAGAGGCGTGCCAGCTCGAGAGTCGTGGAGTAGTACTCGCAAGGGAGAAAACACTTGTACTTACTCAAACGGTCCACAACCGTGTGGATGCCGTCGTGCCCGAGGCGATCACGGGAAAATGGTCCGGTGACATCCATGGCAATGGAGAGGCCGGGTTCCCGTGGGATAGGCATCGCGCGCAACTCGCTGTAGTGATTGCAATTGCGGGGCTTGCTTCGTCGACAAACTTCGCAAGAGTCGCAATACCGAGTGACATCATTAAGGAAGTTGGGCCATCGGAATAATTGTCGATGCCGTGGAACGGTGCGGTTGACTCCGAAATGGCCGGCGAGTCGCGAATCATAATACTCGCCGAGAAAGCGAGTCCGAAGGCGACGGTCTAGTGGGACACATAGTAAGTCCTTGCCTCATGAGTGGAGGAGCAAATACCCGTCGACAATGTGATAGTGGCTGGCTGGCGGGTGATCCGAAGATAGCTGCGCATACAACGTGGCGAAATCCAGATCAGACTCATAGCCCCGGATGAAGTGTCGTTGGAGTTCCTCGTCAAATGCGAAGGCATGATGTGTCATAGCGCAAAGATCAGGTCTTCGCGAGAGTGCATTTGCTGCGTGATTGGAGAGGCCGGGGAGATGTTTCGGTGTGAAGTCAAATTGGTCGATGAAGTACATCCATCGTCCGATCGTGCTGCTCACCGTATCCTGCGTCTTGTAGCAATGGGTTGTTGCCCGTGACCCATGTGAACCTACGACGCCCAAAGAGGAAGTGCCGCCATCGCTTGAGAGCCATTACGAACGCGAGCAGCTCCTTCTTCCTTGCATCATCAAGTAAATTGATGGGAGGCACTTTGTGGCTGAAATACTTCACAGGGTGCCAGTCGTCGTCGTCGTGTTGTTCCAAGACTGCCCTAATGCAATAGCCGAAACCGTCAGTTGTCACTCTCGTAGGCAGGATGGGGTCATAGATGCTAAGGACGGGTGCCATGAGCATGGCCGTCTTAAGTGCTTGGAATGACTGGCGTGCGTCGTCATCGAATACGAATGGCACCTTTGGCGATTGTAATCTCGTCATAGGTGCGGCAATCCTTGAGTATTTGGTGATGAATCGCTGATAGTAGCCCGCAAACCCCATAAATGAACGAACGTCCGTGGTGTTGGTGGGCTCGGGCCATACGCGGAGGGCCTCGATCTTGTCCGCAAGCGGATGGATGCCTTGCGGCGTCACATAATGTCCGAAGTACTCCAGCTCCTGCCGCGCGAATTCGCATTTGTCGCGGTTGGCTTTGTACTTGGCTTGTCGTAGCCGCTCCAAAACGGTGCGCAGGTGTTCCACATGCTCGTCCAAACTCCGACTGTACACCAGGATGTCGTCGAGGTAGATGAGTACGAATCGATCCAGCATGTGTCGGAACTCCGTTGTCATAGCCACTTGGAAAGTGGCTGGGGCATTCGTAAGGCCAAATGGCGTAACCAACCATTCAAAATGCCCATATCGCGTCTTAAGCGCGGTCTTGTAGCGGTCCTCCTTCCGAATCTCGAGTTGGTGATATCCCGACTTGAGGTCAAGCTTGGAGTAGAACTTGGCGCTGCCCAGCGGTTCGAAAAGGTCGTCGATGCGTGGAAGAGGGCCGACGTTTCTAATCGTTTGCGCGTTGAGCTTGCGATAATCAATGCACAACCGCAAATCCTTGTTCTTCTTCCGGACGAAGAGAACGGGAGCACCGTATGGCGATGAGCTAGGCCGAATCCAACCTTTCTTGAGAAGGTCGTCGAGTTGTGCCCGTAGCACACTTAACTCTTCCTCGCTCATTCGGTAGATGCAACCACGCGGAGGTACAACCCCGTCCGGTACTACTCCGTGTGGGCCTTTGAACACGTCGCCGTAGGCGTCGAGAAGCTCGGTGATGAGTGGGTCCAAAGATGAGTCCGTCGATGAAGCGTCATGGGGCGGGAGGGCGTGGAGAAAACACACCCCCATCTCCTCGATGTCGTCTCTGATGATGGAAACTCGCATGCTTGCGGCGGACACCAAGTGGCACCTGATCGAAGGGTGAGGAGCCACAATGCATGGGACTAGTACTCCGTTCCGATCACGAATGTGCACGGTGCGGCGGTAGAAGTTCACCGGGTGATCCTCGCTTCGCAGCCATGACATGCCCAAGATCATGTTGAATTTGGTCTCCAAAATATCGAAGGACACTGCCTCGCTTGCATGCGGGGCAAAGTACACGGGGACGTCATCTATGCACCGGTCTATTGACTTGTGCTTGTGACCATCTGCCAACGTGACTTGCATAGGCTGGGACTTCCTCCGGACGCGTGGGCCAAGGCCGGCGCGTACCATAAAGTCCTGGCTCATGTAGTTGCGAAATGCTCCGCAATCGATCAAAGCGCTGCAGGTCGCCTCTCCGATCTGAATGCGTACATATAACAATGGTGCGTCGATGTCGTCGTACCGTTGTGTCTTGAACTCGCGGTCGATCTTCCAATGTAGGCGTGAAGGTTGACAACCTCTACTCCGGCGTCCATCAACGGAGTTGGTACTGCAGTGTGCAAGTAATCCCGCAATTGTGCCATGAGCACGTTGCAATGCGGTTTCGGCAATCGACCGGACCGGGGAAGGGGCATCCAATGGAAGTCCGCAAATGTCACCATGACGTTGAATCCCCGACAATAGATGGCAGCAAAGCTGCCGAATCGGTTGCCGACGGTGATGAAATCGTGCATGCGGTAGATTGTTGCACGTGGAGTGGTTGGTCCAACGGTGGGACCAAGTGGACAGCATAATCCTCGTAAGTGAACCGAGGACTTGTGACATGCGCATCCTCCCCAGATGTGTAGGAGGCCGCTAACAAGGCGGCCGAATCTGGCGGAGTGAGAGGTGGAGTCGCCTCACCTCCTGCACGACTTAGTTTCGCGAGTTAATACGAGGCCGAACATCCTCCTTGCCTTGATCGGGGCATTGCGAGGTCTTGTGCTTGGTGCTGTTGCACCAATAGCAGCAGCCGTAGCGGCCACGCCACTTGTATTCCGCCTCGGTCAAGTGAAACTTGACCCATGGTGCTGGCTGTCCGTTTCCGGCCGGCGATGCGGTTTTCGCCTTCCCGTTTCCTCGGGACTTGTTGTTGCTTCGCGGCTGGACAGCAGCCACCTGATCTCCCTCACGTGACGCTTGGGTGGCTGCCGGGTCTTCCACAATGTTGTCCGATTGGACTGCAACGATATGCTGCGGTCGCGGACCAATTCTCACCTTCTCCACATAGGTTGGCTGCCATGCTGATTTCTCGTGTGCAGTTGCCCTGTTGGTCTTGATGATCTCCCTTGCCTTGTCGATGATTTCGGCGAAGGTTGTGTATTGCTCGCGATCACCAAGTGCGAGGCTCAAGGCGGCGCGTGACCGGTTGTAGAACTCCCGACGCAGATGCGAAAATGGCAAGTCAAGATCGGGCGTTGCCGCGATCTTTCGCCATTCCGTGAGCCAATCGCGTGTCGATGTGTTGCCTTGGGTCATGGCGAAGAGGCGGTTGATGGCGAGCACCGGGGCGTCGTCAACGATGAACCGTTTCTTCCATAGCTTTGTCAATTCTTCCCAAGAGATCTTCTCATGAAGATCGGCGACCTGGACGCCGTGGATGGATGTCAGGTGGCTGAGCCAGATCTGGCAACCTCCCTTTGAGTTGAGGAACAGCGCGCCGATGTACGTGTGCTCTGGCACAAAAAGAATCCGAAGTTCCGTCGTAAAGCCCTCCCACCAGGGGACCGGGTCTTGATGCGTATAGTCATCGAACTTTTCGATGCGGAATGTCGACATCTTGTAGTGTTGCGCACTTGTCTTGCCATTGCTGTTGGGCAGCTGGTGCAACTGCTGAACCTCGGTCTTCAAGGTGTCCAGCTGCTTGCTGATGGTCGCCGGTGCAGCGAAGGTACTGATGTCGCCGAGCATGGCGACTACGTGGTCAACTCGTCCCTCCAATTGGCGGGTAGAGGGTGCGCTGCTGGACTCGCCAGCATCTGATCTTGGTGCAGATTGCTCCAAGTCCTGTACACGGGAATGAAGTGCCCGTGTAGCATCCTCGTGCAGATCCTTGTGGTTCTGCATTGCCCGTCGGAGACTCGCCAGCTCGGACTGCAGGTGGTTACAAGTGTAAACCAACCTGGTCATGAGCTTGGCCATGAATTCCTTGTGCTGTTCTTCCGGTGTTGTGTCGTCGTGCTCCTCGGATGGTTCAAAATCCCAAAACTTGAGTCTTTCAATGCTGGTGGTTTCATGCCGCTGCAGCAGATGCATCTGGTTCGGCCTGAAGCCGCCGCTTCAGAGCCTCGGCTGCCGGCTGGCGCTGTCCCTCAGCCGCGATTAGTGCGAGCTGAGTTTCGAAACGCTGTCGGTACTCAGCAATGATGTGTCACTGCTGACATGGCACTGTTGCTGACGTGGCAATGCTGATGTGCCACTGCTGACGTGGCACTAATGCTGACGTGGCACTGCTGACGTGGCACTGACTGTTGCTGATGTGGCATTGCTGACGTGGCACTGACTGTTGCTGATGTGGCACTGCTGACGTGGCACTGTTGCTGACATGGCACTGCTGACGTGGCACTGCTGACATGGCACTGTTGCTGACGTGGCACTGTTGCTGATGTGGCACTGCTGACGTGGCACTGTGCCAACCCGCAAATGCATGCAAAGGGGTGGGTGGGAGGGAGAATGCAGGTAGGGAACCAACCCAACAATACTTTCCTCCCAGCCCTAATCAACAGATAAAAAATAAAAAAATAAAAGAGTACTTCCTTTTTTTTTCTTTTTGTATATCTGTCGATCTGTTATGAGTGAGACATGTCGGAAGAGCACTATGAGCGAGATCTAGGCTAGGTTCCGCAAAGTTTCGGCTTTCACAAAATGCGATCTTGAAAAAAAAAAAATTTGCGAAGTAGAGTAGAGATGCGATCTTCAGAAAAGAACTAAATCCAGTTTCTGAGAAATTGGCAAACCTCCGAATATGCCTAACGAAATGTTGATAGGCTTCACAAGATTTCGGTTTTCAAAAAAAAATTGCGAGATAGAACGCTCGGTGGGGAGGTGCTTCGGCCGGCCCGCTCAACCCTCTGGTCAACGCCCGGTCAACCCTCTGGTCAGCTATGGCTGCCGGCACCTTCTTCCTCGCCAACCTCTTCTTTCTTCCTCCTCCTCTCACCTTTCTTCTTCCTCGGCGTATTTTTTTTTTTTTTTTTTTTTTTTTTTTTTCTGCGAGACCTTCGGCTATGTCTGTCCGCACCTTCTTCTTCCCTCCTTCCTCCGTTCTCTCCTCTGTCTGATCCTGCGTCTAGGCTTCCCCACTCTACCTGGACCGTGTTCTGAGCTCTGCGGCTATGGCCGCTTCTTTCTCTTGGACCGCACAACCGCTTCTTTCTCTTGGACCGCACAACGATCTTCAGCGCAGGTACGTGGTAACCAATCTTGTATCGCTCAGCCCCCCCCCCTCTCTCTCTCTCTCTCTCTCTCTCTCTCTCTCTCTCTCTCTCTCTCTCTCTCTCTCTCTCTCTCTCTCTCTCTCTCTCTCTACGTCGTTGTCCTCTTGTGCAGGTACGCGTCAGCTTCTTCCGCAGCGCAGCTATGGCGGACTTCTTCTTCAAAGGTGGCGCACTTCAGCTATGGTGCCCATGCGTCTCTCTCCTGCTACAACGGCGATGCGCATGGAGTAGCTGGTGCCAGCTCTGATACCAGTGCAATCAGACTCGCATACTTCGTCACTTCACATGCATACAAACAGATGGTGAATCATGCTGGCGCATAGCGCCCAACTCAAGCCCGAAGATATGGAAACCAAGACACAGTTCAGATGCAAGCTTGCTTCAAGAGGCTATGGTGCATCAGCACCCACACATCGCAACTCTTGTCACTGTGTCCAACACCACTGTTCACTTCACACTTCAACTCCGGATCACCCTGGATACCCCACGCACACACGAATGCACACCTACTACTATGGCAGCTATGGCCGCCAGCTAACTCTACAAGCAGCTATGGCTGCGCTAACTCCCTCTAGCCCACTTCGACTTCAGGCTCCTCTGCAGACCACCTCGCACAAGTCACCGTGGCAGCGCTTCCGCATGGCTTCCGCAGGAATGACTGAATGGCTGTGCGCTGCCTCTTGATTTATACTTCTGTAACTCATTGGTCTGCCCCTTTCCATCGGCCCAGTATGCACACAGTCCCCCATGGTACTTGCTGGACTGGACTGGGGCTGACTGGACCGTACCGCTGACTGCATGGGGACACACTGCTAACCTACCGCTATCGTACTGCGAACGTACTGCAGTTGGTCCACCACTTGCCCACTTGCCCACTTGCCTCAGCCTAAAACAGAGCAAGCTGCGAAAGGCCACTTCCGGACCTTCCGGAAGTCTGTGGACTTGGCCTTTCGGGACTGTAGCAGCTACGACCTTGACCTCTCAGGATTGTAGCAGCTACGACTTTGACCCTTCGGAACATCTACAGCTAGACTTCTGGAACTCCCTAAGACCTCTACTCGACAGGTCTACAGATCGAATCCCTATGTCCACACAGTCCTACGACAGACAAACAACAACTCATGAAACACAGGTCACGGGTTCAAGCACTCAAGGGTCAACTCGATACTATACATGGGTGTGGTAAGGTCTGGGGATCAAACCCTGGGATCTGCATCTGCCTCTGCAAAGGTGAAAACCGTTTCAGAATCATGTGGAGACACGAACAGGCTCTAGCTGAATTGGTGACCCATAACTGCCGAGTGCAAGGAAAATGAGAGATAGCGAGATGGCAGACTCCAGATAGCACAATCACATTGAAAGCAAAAAAGTTCCACAGTGTCCAGATAAGCAGCATTGCACCAATATTACACCAATGGAGAATCGAAACAATGTAACCGAATGTCAATGAGAGCTTTACTCTCGTCCCCACCAACATACGTATCCAGGCCCTCTCTCCCTACTCGGCGCTCGGCGCCCACGTTACTCCCTACACGGCTACTTCCTGCCTACGAATTGACAATGCAACTGTTGACGTCAGCAGCCACCGAAGTACTTGAAGATGTTGACCAATGCAGACCATCGCCAATACCAGGTATGTGCCCTAACATCATCATCCTCATCTCTTTCACGCTCTCCCTATCCTTGTCTTCCTCCCACGTCTTCTCCCTTATGCACGAAGACCACCACCACCTCCACTGGCTGTCCAAGCCAAGCCCTGGCTATGTAGGGCTGGCTATGGCTCTGCCCTCGGCAGCGCGCTGCCTTCTTCTAGCGCCCGCGCGCACTGCCTGGCAACTAGCACTAGTGCCCAGCGCACAGCCTGCGAGCACACGCTCAAGCAGCGCTGCCGCATGCACTGCCTAGTGCCCGAATGCCTCCACCAGTGGCGAGCTCTTTCCTTTATGGAAAGTGCTCGCCCAGTCTGCTCCCTGGCTGGGCCTCGTGTATTTCCAGTAGCTTCCAATCGGGCCAAACTGTCTGCGCCCAGGCCCATTCAGACCATGGCCTGGGACCGAATTGGTTGAGCCTGCCCAACCACCCAGGAGTAAACGTGAGGTTCTCCCTGCTTCGCCTGTGCTGTTGGAAGAGCCTAGAAGGCTCAAGAATTATTTCTGATTCTCACGAGTGTGGAGGATGTAACCAACTGGCGCATGGCAACTGTCTGGCGCCCACCAAACTTTGCCAAAATTGATGAACTCAGGCCATATTGAAATTCAGGGGCCCGCCTTCACTTAGGGCGGGCTCATGCTTGCTGAAAGGGCCCTACAGGGGCATGCCAAGGAGCCAACTGCAATCAGACTCGCTTTCTTTCACACTCCCATGCATGCAAACAGGCGCACAGCAAACTGGCGACAAGCGCCCACACAGAACTCAGAGATATGGTCGCCGAAGACACAGTCCAGATACAAGTTCACTTTCGGTGGCTATGGCGACTCAGCGCCCAAACAACTCTCTGTTTGCACACCCCGGATCACCCTGGATATCCCACACGCATTACTCTGGACTCACACACACACACACACTACACACTCACTCGAGCTATGACGGCTATGGCCACTACTACCCTATCGCTATGCTACGCTCCTTCTCTCTCGCCCACTTCGGCTCCGGGCTCACTGCAGACGTCCTTGCACAAGTCGCTGTGGCAGCGCTTCCGCATGGCTCACGCAGGAATGAATTAATGGCTGGGCGCTGCCTCTTGATTTATACTTCTGGAGCTCGTTGGTCTGCCCCTTTCCATCGGCCCATGGTGCACACAGTCCCATATGGTACTTGCTGGACTGGACTGGGACTGACTGGACTGCACTGCTGACTGCTTGGGGACTCGCTGCTATCCTACTGAGGTCGTACTGCAATCGCACTGCAGTTAGTCCACCACTTGACTCACCACTTGCCCACTTGCCGACCTTCTAGAAGGCTACAGCTAAGACTTCTAGACTTCACTAAGACTTCTATTCGACAGACCTACAGATCGAACCCCTACAACCTATGGACCTATTGTCTTACTAGTACACAGGTCACGGGTTCAACTCTCGGGGTCTACACAGGTACTGTACACGGTGAGGTAAGGACTAGGGATCGAGCCCAGGGATCTGCATTTGCTACTGCAGAAGGTGAAAACCGTTTCACTCGTGCCGTCCTAAATTCGAGGTCCTTCGAGAATATTTCAGTCCAAGGCAGGACTTTACCCTTCTTATCACGCTCGTAGGCTCTGACTATGTCGGGAGCTGTTTCTAGAAGTTCTGTCCTAGTAAACCAGCGGTCGTCTTCCGGTTCCTGATAAGCAAACCGGACCTTATACTGTTTTTGTGGACGACCTCTACCTCCTGTCCTAAACACATCTTCATCTACAATGCCGTCAATGTCATATCTGCCATCCATATCCGGAGGGATCATGGTTCTTCTTGAAGGGAACTGTTGACTTGTGACACACGGCAACAACTTTGAAGCATGGAACACCGGGTAGGTGTGGAGGTGTGCTGGAATCTGTAGTGTAGGACGGTCCATCCTCCCCGCCCTTGACTTCTAGAACCGGCCACGGTCCTCTATATGCAGGTAGTAACTTGTGCGAGATGTTCTCCTCAGGTGCAAACTCTTTAGACTTGACCCAGACCAAGTCGCCTACCTGAAACTGCGATGGGCATCGCCTGTTCTATCATGCGGTGCTGGTCCTTCCTGAGGTTTTCAACAACAGTTGCTAGCTCTCTCTCGTGCTGTATCGCGAACTCCCTGGTACCGGGCGGTAGTCTGTGAATCTGATCCCTCGTAAGTCCTTCAAATGGTCTGC